TAGAGAAATTGCATGATTGAACGTTACCGTTACGCGCAACGTTGGTTACTAATGGGCTTGAAAATTTCCATCGAAGAGAATTTTTATTAAAAATAAAATTACAAAAATTCTGCGAAAAATTCTGTTTTATTAAAAGGACGACGAATTTAATACTCGTTAAAAAAAAAAAAAAAAAAAAAAAATAGAAAAAAAAACGTATTGGGACGAAAAAAATTTCGTTTGGTTCGTCTCGTTCGAGGAGATTCTACATGTAGCTTCTACATACGATTATTTCTAGCGAGTATTATTTTCGTGAATCTCACCTCCGTCGCCGATCAGCCGCATTTGTACTAAACTCGGGTCCTCGTTGTGATCCTCGAGAACAGTGTCATCGGTGACAGTCAAATCCTGAAAATCGCGTCGTCGGAATTACTTTAGATCGTTGCTTCGTTCCGAATTTTAATATTTTCTAGAAACTTATTATCTTTTGTTATGAATGATCCTGATAATAAAGAAGATATAACTTCATTTTTATCGTGACTTTCATAAATATATCTTAAGTACGCGTTAAGAACTTTATTTATATACCTAATCGCATTAGTCGTGTCTCGTTATAGTATCTCTAATATATATATATATATATATATATATATTCGAGAGTTATATTATACATTTCAAAAATTTTATTTCATCTATATTCTTTCACGATTACGTTTTATTAAAAAAAGATATCAAATAACTCGTGACGATCATCAGGTCGCAGATTTTGTCAACAAATAGTAATAAAAATCTAATAAAAATCTAACAATTACCCGGAATATAAAAGATTAACGAAATTTATTGTAAAACACTTAGAATAAATCATGGTTATATTAATTACACTAAGCACACGAGTGACGATTTTTATACAATTTTAGACAATTTTAGTCATCGATCGCCGTGTTTCGACCAAAAACAGGGAGTTGAAAATCAAGCAAAGTACCTTTCATTCTCGTGACTCGACTCGAGGCTATCGATCGAGTGACATTAGACTAGTTTCGAGAACGAGCGATAAATCTTTCTCACGAGCAATTTACAATTCTCGCGGATGTTTGTCTGCAAGAGCCGGTAGAAACCCGGTAATCTGTGTCTTCGGGCAGACGCGTGTCTGCCAATTTAAGTGTCAAAGGTAGTCGACGGACTAACGTCTCGTTAAAGTCGTATCAATGTAACCGTTTCCGTCAACGAGTCTAACCGATCGATCGCACTGTACCATCGGTAAAACTCGAAAGGGGGATTTTCTCTTTCTGAGAGTAAAAACTTTCTCTACTCGTGTTCGTTGTTCACGTTAAATAATAAGATTTATTTCCCACGAGAGATGCAGCAGTTTGCGAAAACGTTCGAACACTTGTAGACAGATATTATGAGTAGTATTGTCGCGAAGATTCATATTTTTGCAATAGTTGGACACTTTACATTGTAGGGGATTTATTATGAAAATTCATGTCTTCGAGGATATAATTTAAAATTGCTGCAATACAGTTTCTTATATTGTGGCAAATAGGATTTTTGTAAATGTATTACATTTATATGGTATATTAAATATTATAAAAATACTTACGCTTTATAAAACGTCTCATGAATATATAAAAAATTTAGATAGATATGATACGAATACTGTTAAGATGATACTAAAACATACGTGAGTACAAACATTTCCCGTAGCAAATGCTCATTTTTTGCATTTTCGTAGAGCGAACGTGAAAGAAAGAAAAAAAAAAAAAAAAAAAGAAAAGAAAGAAAGAAAAAAGAGGACGAGGTTACCTTTGTGGACTCGTTGTAACCAACGATGACGGCGGTGTACCATTGCGTAGTGCCCTCGGCCCGATAAACCTCGACCCTGAAGCCAACTAGAACGCTCGGCGTGGTTAACAGAATTCTCTGCCCGTCCTGCATTTCTGCCCATCGCCTGACAGCGCTCGCCCAGGGCACCGAGCCCTTCGTCAGCTCCCAGTCCTGCTGCAAGAACAACGAATCGGTTGAAGCCTCGTTATCGCTTCTCGTCGTGACAGTTTCGAATTGCGTGATTGCATAATCGAGCACTTATTAACCCTTTTCCCGCTACGGCAGACTATGACACGTCGTTGCCTAACAAAGATCACATGACACTCGCAGTGTGTTGATAGAATAATAATCGTAAAATAGTAAAACAATGAGATCATTTTGCTTTAAAAAGAAAAGGGGAGAAAAGAAGGAAAAAACTAAATCCCGACTAAGAGCGATTCATTCGCGCGGTGAAAGCCAGAGGAACGATTTGATAGCTAGATAGACATTACGTGTAACGTCGGGTAAATTCGGTTATGGTGTTATAATTGCCGTTATATTACTACCATTATTGTGCATCGTCGTCATGCTTCGCATGTCGTGATTGCACAACGCATCTGACGTAATGTGACGATCGTGACGTAACGAGAAGACGTTGACGCTTCCTTGGCGAACATACGTCTTAGTATGTGTGTGATACTCCGCGTGTATGTGATACTTCGCGAGAATATCAAACGCGGGGGAAAGAGTTGAAACTGTTGAAACGACTCTATCGATCAGTTCGAAGAGTTATTAAGCCATTATTCTGTTTGTGCTTCACACAATTCCTCGAGAAAGTAATCTGGAATTTTCATCCAGAAACAAATCACTTGTTGAATCGACAGAGTTCAGAAACCACAGAACGTATAATGTTCCTCGAATTAGGAACGCAAATTAGCAACAAGAGGCAAGAATAAGGATGCAGCTTCCACAGAGAAATTAGAAATGCAAGTAGTAGGAAAAAATTTTTTAATTTGAAATAAAGAATTGTCAATCTGACAGACGTCAGTTCGAAAAAAAAAAAAGAAAAATTGATCAAGAAGAATTAATCATTTGACTACTTTAGTACCTCGGCTGTCAAATATACTTCTGTTTCATAAAATTATGAATTACCTGCAACAAGAAACGTTTGCCTTTCAACCCTTCGAGCCAGAGTATTGCACGAATGATCTTACAATATATCGAACAAACACATCAAAAGATGCATACATTCTCAATTTGTCATTAACATTCACACGCATCAGAACTCATGTTCATTCGATACAGTGAAATTTCGTTTGGAATTTAAACTCGTCGTGGGGCGATACGTATTCATATATACGACAGGACAGATAAGAGGCGAATCGAGACGCGTTCAGACGTTCTGGCATAATGTGCGAGCACGCGAATCACAAGTTACAACTCCCGAGATTCTCACTCCTTTCGACGAAAGTCCAAATATTCCTCCCGTCAGGATCGAACGATATATTCCCAGCACTCGTGGCGTGTGCGTTGAAGTTAAAAAAAAAGTTAAAGAGAAAGAGAAAGAGAAGGGAAGGGAGCGAGGGCTGCGGATCGCGCGACACAGGACCCGTTAGGTAAAACGGGAATATGTTGGCGCCTCGCGTTGGCCGTTCTCCAACTGTTCGCCAATGTTGGTGCACGCGCGCGGTGTGTCGACACGAGTCACCGAACCGGGCCGCAGCTGCCAGCGAAAAACAAGAGCAAACAGCCAGCCGAGCTCTTGGAAGTTTCACGCGAGTGTACTCGCCAACGTACATACGTCCACGTGATCCACGCTTCTTTCCGGCCGGTTGGTTCCAACGTGTCGACCAGCACCTCTTCCTCTTCGTGTGCGAAACAGCAGAAAGAACCCGTTGCATTTATAGTTCAGGGTCGGCAGACTCTTCGCGGGCGAACCTAACCTCGCCCGACCAATTCCGAGTGCTACTGGAATTCTCATTCTTCTACTTACTTCAGCTTCTTATTCTTCTTCTTCTTCTTCTTCTTCTTTCCTTGTTTCACGAGCTTTCGGCTTTGGGGAGGATTCTTGTTCTTCACCTCTTTTTTTGTATTGCACCTGTCAGAGAACTATTTAACATCATATGGTGCATTGATGATGCATTTTTTTCTTCTATTGCCAATAATAGCCAATAATGGGTATTGATCTGTCGATACGTTATCCTTGTCTCTTATTGTGGTCTTTTAGTTCAGGGAATTTCCAAACGTTGCGGGATGATTTTTGCTTTAGAACGAAGCACATCTCTAACTGAGTAGCTGTTATTAATCGATAACTTTCTTCTTCTGTAAATCACAAGGATACTGAGATCTGAATTTGTTTATTACACGCGTGAGATAGAATCTCTGCCAGCTTCCCTTTGGCTTTCTCGTTTCGTTTTTTTCTCATCAGCTGGACTTTGTCATTGTCGTGTACCTTTTCGTTCCTTTTGTAACATGCAGCGTTATATAAACGGTGAGTTAATGAGAAGTATTATGACCACGTGTATGGAATCGTGTACGCGTTTAAATAATAAAAATCCTTATCACGTATTTGTATTTCAATACACGTGTTACACAAAATAAAACTTAAATTGTGTTAACAGGAGTAACAATTTTGAATGATTTTTAGTAAAATATATACAACCAGAAGCTTGTGTTCTCTGCTGCGTTATAAATCTTCTCCTTTTTCTGATACACTTATCAAAAACTACGTCAATACATTCGTTACCTACACACGTGCACGTGCGAAACATTTCTCAACCGCGGAGTCATTTGAATTTATAAAATTTCCAAAGAAGAAAAAGAAGAAAAAGAAAGAGAAAAAGTTTCTCGCTTCATTTCGCAACTGACAAGGCTCTTTGAGGCAACTAAGTTCAAGAATGTGAAAGTGGAGCGCGTAAAACTAGTTGCACGGTTTTTCTTTTTAAGCAAAGTTCACAGAAGTTCAAAGATCGAAGACTCCTCCTTTATGATTTATCTTTGGCTTTTAAATCTTCGAGTGATCTTCGAGCAAAGGCACGAAAAGTGTCTCACATTTTTACCGCTTGAACCTACATGGTGAGACGTCGTTTCACACACTACAAGTTGTAAAGTTTTCTAATTTATAAACGATCAGAATAAAATTCTGTATTTTGCATGTACGTGTTAATTTAACCCCTTCTCTTAACTTTGGATCCTTGAATTTTGCTGAGTCGTATAGTCCCGTATCTTTTTCACTGGTTTCCCTTTGCTTCGCTCGAAACATTCTTCCAAAGAAACGCTTTCCCTTTTCTCGTTCGTCCCTCGTCTCTCGTTTCTTTCTCGCCTTTCTCTCTTGCTGCGCTCTGTCCCCAGGCTCTCCTCTCTTTATTTTGATTCGGCGCAGAGGAGAAGTGCAGCTGCGACTATCAGAAATCGATAATCGAACATGCGAGAGGCCGACGATGGCCAAGCACGAGGCAATTTCCCTCGTAACCCCGATGAAATTATTTCTGCCGGAGACTTCTTCTTCTCTTTTTGTCTCTCCCTCTCCCCCTCCACCCCCCCCTTCTCTCTCTCTTCACTCTTTCTTTCTATTTTTGCGCGTAACGCGGTGAAGTTCAACTGTCAGGCTAACCGGGGTTTATTTTATCGACAGCGCGGCCGGCAACTTTCTTTTATACAGGACGCTCTAAATAATTACGGGACCGCTATTATGAGTAGGTTCTAGACGCGTCGACGAAGCGAACAGAGACGAGGAAGTCCGCTAAGGTTAATAGATTCACTTTGCTATTCTCGTCCGCTGTATCGTTCATTCAACACAGTTTTATTTCCCTGTATGTTTCGACGATTTTTTTTTTTTCCTTTTTCAGGTTTAAAGTCGCATCAACGACTACTTATATGGTACTTGTATATATTTTTTAAGTATAGATTTATGTCCATTCAGTATTCAGGAAGTCATGGCAATGGTGGGATTAATCCTATGGAATCCTCTCTGTCATTGAAAGTTTGTGCATTCACATAGAATGTGTTGAACTGTGACAGATTTTTTTGACAAATTTTTTTTGTAGAACGGAGGGTCGGTGTCCTAATCGTGCCAGTGTCATTCTTTCTTTCTTGATTAATCCGCTAAAAGGGATCTCTTCGATTTCATATTGTCCACAGTTGTTTCCATTCATCCTTGACGTTGGCTTTTGCATACAAGCTGATATGGGATAGGGGTTGAATGATTTTTGCCTTCGCAACTGCAAAGGCAAACGAGTAGTTGGACTTGAACGAAGATCAGACTGTGTCCACGTAAAATAACGTGGACACAGTCATTTGTAATGGTGAAAAATGCAGTATTAAATACGATAAGAAGATTTCCGACAGCGAGGAATGCAATTCCAGGTACAAAATTGTGAAACAAAGAGTAGAAAATGGTACAAAGGTACGAAATAAAATAGAACTCGTTTTATTATTCCAAATATTTTCGAATATAACGAGTGAATTTCTGAATATAATAAAAAGACTTCTGCTAGGAAATAATGCAACTCCAGGTATGATTCATATTAAAATGCTCTCTGTGAATAAATGGACTTTTGAATATGGGCGATGAAAAGATTCCTGGTAGAAAACAATGCAAAATCATCTCTGAGAATGATCTCTTTCTTACAGCGCAATGGCAAATAAAAGAACTGCGGAATGCGGGAATTTAAATATAAAATGATGCAAAGAACGAATGAAACTCGCGGACGGTCCATATAGCATTTCAAGTCAAAATGGCTCGTCAAACGAATCCGCCAATGCTCTAATTCACCCCGCTATATTAATCATCAACTTCGTTCGATAATAATCGAACAGCAAAAAGAACTCCCAGAAATTTCAAGATCGAAATTTGAGACAGAAATTACAAGAACGAAGATTACAAATCGCTTCACGAACGATCGTGCAATAAACGATAATTTTAGAGTTAAAAACAGAGTGGGTATCGTGTTTACGTACAAGAATCAATGCGACGCGTCGTTTAAATTAATCGCAATGAAAGATCTACGTCACCCCTAAAATAGAAATGGCAAGAAAATTAAAAAAAAAAAAATCTCTCGCGATTTGTCTATGGAGAAGAACTCGTTGAACGAGACTTTTCCCCGATCGATCGGAACTAATACCGCGGTAATCGTCTTTAATACGTAACCAGTGTGAGGGGAGAGCTCGCTTCAGCTGATCCTGACCACGGTCTTTGCGGAACTTCTCGCCGCACGTGAACGACTTACAATTCGCGGCGAGCCGGGCGAACTTTTAACGGTTAAAGTTTCCGCTAGTTTAATTACTTGAAAACAATTCCCCGCATCCGTGTCCGCCAATTCGGGATGTAAAAACTTTTTCCAGCATCGTTCTCAGGCAGCTCAGCCGCCCCCTATCAGAGACCACCTCCTTGATCATCGATTTATCATCCCTTATGGGTATTGCTGGCTGCATCTCCGATTTTACAATCGGATGGAACAGCATCAGCTATAAAAGTCGACGAATTTTTACGGACTTTTTCTACATCGAAGGTTCTCCGTTAAAACGTTCGCATCGAATCTCCTAATTTCTGATCTCTAAATTTTGAGAAGAAGTTTACTTATTTTTGTACGATACGATAGAAATTCAAATTGTGTAAGGCTTGGCACAAACTTGCAATCAGTTTTGGTAAGTTATCATGAAGTTGCGAAGCGTTTTCTATTTAAGTTGTACTACAGCGTATTTATTTACACTCCTCTCTTTCGTTTATTGAGAACGATTTCCTTTTCATGTTTAATTACTACAAACGAAAATCACGATTCTAACACGCACAAAATTAATGTGCACTGCTGGTTAGATATTTCTCTTTAAAAGTCTTAGGACAATTTCGAAGCAACGAACTCGATACGAGTGGAAATTAAAACTCGTAGTTCAAAGTTTAATCCGAGACAAGTGGCGAAGTTCCAAGACTTTGTATTCACTTTGTTGTTCGTCCATTTTTCGCACTTTTCACATTCGATATTTCCAATATTTATTTTCTCCGATTGTTTATATTTAACCGCAGAGATATATGACAAATATATAAATATAAATATGAGAAACGCGCAGTATTTTTAATATTTATTTTTTTCTCGATTATTTGTATTTAATTGGGAAAAAACGGGAGGTTGAACATTTCCTGAGTGACCTAAAGGGCGAGATTCGGTCACCGGAGATCGGCATCCCTCGAAAGATTACTCGTAGTCACGACAACGGTTTCCCGGAGGGCTGCCGGATAGGTCAATAGCCTCGGAACTTGCTCGCAAGTTTCCTCGCCGCTCTCTAACGAAGTAAGTTTCCAGTTGCGAAGCGGCTGGCTCGGTTTAGGGAACTCGCGTGCCACTTAATCGGCCAAGGATCCTAACGTGCTTTATCGACGAGATATCGCGACAAAGAAAAGATGATAGGACGGCCGAGTTACTCCGTAACGATAATAAACGTTTCATTGATCGGAATATTACAAACCGAACTTCGTAAGACGCCTCAGAGCGTCGATTTTTCAATCCCTAAATTTAAAACTTTCGGACCGCTCGTGACCGTTAGATTTCCCAATTTTCTGAATTAGAAATGTTAGAAGCGTTTCAGGTGAAAATATACCGAGCTTTCTAAGCTTACCGGTGAAGCTAGATCTTCAATCCAAAATTAATTCGTCAAGTTAGAAATTTTGGATCTCTCACTTTTCTTTCGTTATTAAGATATTCCCCAGTCAAGATGTTAGATTTTTACAATTTCTCAATTGGAAATTAAACGTTGTAGGATATGCGAGGGAAACAGAGCGGAGTAAAGGACGATGGTACTCACGGTGAACGGCTTCAGCTTCGAGTAATCGACGAAATCCAGCCTTCGATCTTGCATGAACTCGAGAGGCATCGCGTCTTCCGGTAATTCTGCTCGCGCCACCAGCGGGTAAAATGTCTGCAAATAGGTTTCAATTCAACCGGGATTAATTTCAGTTGTCCTTACACCTCGTGTCAACGAAATCTACAGAATTCAGACATTTACGCGCGAGGTATTCAATTAAAATTGCGCCCGAAATGGCATCTATGATCTACAGAATCAATTGATTGAAATATTTGTCTCTTTACAATATAGATATTACAGATGACGCGTTGAAATTTTCAGTAAAATCAAAGTCTTCGAGGACTTAGTCGAAACTTTTAGATCAAACGTCCAAACGACATCGCAAGAAATAAAAAGAAAAAAAAAAAATGACACGGTTTTCGCAAAGAAAATCGGCGACGCGGTTATTGAAGCTGAAACTTTCCCTTAATCACTACCGAACGAACAAAACCAAGAGCTGCGAGAACTTCCACGCTGAGAACGCCAACACTTTGCATCCAAACGATCAAGAATATTCTCCTTAGGATCTGGGGATCTGGAATTTTGAGAGCGACGTTTCTTCGACGACAGACACTCGAGCGGCATCAATGGAACGTTCCCGGCTGATGTCACAAACGCGAAGGGTTCGTTAATCGATAAAGCGACCGGGAAAGAAGGGCGCGCAGACACCGATAAAGCGGTGAGAAACGAAAGGACGTACGAAATTATATACTTAATTTGTATATATATGTGTGATATAATATACAGACTGATTGCACATTTGAAGTAACTTTTAAATTATCCGTCTAATGAAAAATTGTTTAAGACAAAAGTTGCATGGTTTTAAGGGAGGCGTATCAATTTCTTTTTTTTTTTTGTGTGTGTGTTGAGGGATTTCGAAATTTCCAAATTCCTTTCTATTTGTTTCAATTGGATCATAAGAGAGAGAGAGAGAGAGAGAGA